TAGGGGCGCTGTCTCCCACCTGGACCCCAGGGCTGGGACTGTCTGGCTCAGGGGGGCGGGGAATGGGGGCAGGGGCCTGTCCCCTCTAGGGGGCGCCAGCCCCCACCCAGCCCCAGGGCGGGGACTGGCTGGCTCAGGGGGCGGGGAATGGGGCAGGGGCCTGTCCCCTCTAGGACAGAGAACCCAGGATTCCTGCCTCCTTCTCTCTCTCACCCACGAGACCCCACTCTGCTCCCAGAGCCAGAGAGAGAACCCAGGAGTCCTGCCTCCCTCCCCCTTCCCCAGTGGCTGCTGCTCCATTTTGCTCTCCCGGTATCACATGACACGACTGATTTCCACTAATTGAGCTAACCCCCACCCCCACCCCCCGCCAGGCACCGCTCAGCCGGCTCACGTGGCCGGGTAAAGTGGGTCAGCAGCCACGACCTTCCCAGGAGCCAGATACCAGGGTGATGGGCAGGCTGACCCTGGGCGGAGAGGCCTGGTAGCCCAGAGCCGACCCATCAGCCACCGAGCGCGGCCGACTCCGGCCCAGGGACGGGAAGGACCCTGGGGCCAGCGGGAGTAGCCAGGCCAAGCCAGAGACCCCCACAGCTCACCCTGCTCTGGGAGGAACTAGACAGTGCTGCTGCAGTGGGTTCCCGCTGGACTCTCCAGCCCTGACCCTCTGGGGGTCCTTTCCCCATCATCTCCCCTTTTCCCATCACCTCCCCAGGCTTCCAAGGGTGGGCCCCAGAGCCAGGCCCACTGAGTCCTGTGCCCGGTTCTAGGGTCCCTGGGTTCTGTGCCCGGTTCTAGGGTCCCTGGGTTCTGTGCCTGGGACCCCTGGGTTCTGTGCCCGGTTCTAGGGTCCCTGGGTTCTGTGCCTGGGACTCCTGGGTTCTGTGCCCGGGTCTGGGGGCCCTGGGTTCTATGCCCGGTTCTAGGGCCCCTGAGTTCTGTGCCCGGTTCTAGGGGCCCCTGAGTTCTGTGCCCAGGGGCCCCAGGACCTTTTCCCAGCTCTGTGTGACCTCGGGCAAGTCACCGCAAGGCTCTGGGCCTCAGTTTCCCCGTCAGTGGGGAGGATGGTTCTTCACCTAGTCAGCCAGTCTCTCGCTGTGTGGGGGGTTTGTGGTGCCCAGAACAAAGGGGCCCCATCTCAATCCCCCCTCCTCCCTCAGGGCACTACCGTAATGCACTTAATATCCCCTCCTCCTGCGTCTACCTGCTTGGTGATCAGCCGGTATTTCTTGAAGTCCTTGGGGCCCAGCTTGTCGTCCCGCGTCAGCCGCACCACCTTGACGCCGGGGTGCTGCTCCTTGACCAGCTCAGTGCAGAACCGCTGCAGGACGCCGGCCACGCCTTTCCCCCGCTCCCAGGGTGCCACGCGCAGCCCCTCAACCAGCACCGTCTCTCCAGCGTCCACCACGCAGACCGACTGCAGCCCGATCTGGGGAGGAAATGGGGGCGGGGGGCAGTGGGTTAGCACGGGCCGGGCGGGAACAGAA